CCTCCAGGGTGAAGGCAAGAGCTCCTGGGAGGCCAGGGCCCGGCCATTGGCACCCACAGAGCGGGCCAGGACCACAGGCAGTGAGAGAGCAACTTGACCCTTTACTCTTAGAAAGAGCCGTGTCCCGGCAACAAAGCTGACCTGAGTCTCTCCTGAGAAGGGGGGCATGGGCCTGACAGTGGAAGAAGATGACCGGGACTTCCTACCATGACCCCCCAGACAACACCTATGTGACATGATGGGGCAGGAGGGAGGGAGGAAGGATAGGGCGTTCAGGAAAGCTGGCCCTGTGCTCCCAGCAGCTGCCAAATGGCCCGGATCCTCCTTTCTCCCACCACAGCCGGCTCCCGGTTTCCGGCACCCTTGGGAGATGCTAGAGGCTCCCTCCAGGGCAGGCGGCACAGGCTGCTGGGTCCTGACCTGCCAGCGCCCCCCCCCCCCAACCCCCGCCCTGCCGCCCCACCGCTGGAACATGGACTTCAGAGCCAGGAAAAGTCAACAGAGTCCAGACAGAGAGGACGCCTGTGACTGCTGAGGTGTGGGCTTTGGGGCTTCGGGGACTCTCTCTGGGGGCTGCAGTGTGGAGTCCGTATGGGAGCCTGCAGCAGGCTTGGGGCTGGGGTGGAGGCAGGGTGGGGAGACTCACATCTGAGGAAAAGTCCCCAGGGCCCACACACACCCCTGACAAAGGCTGTGGTAGAGGAGCGGAGACAGGACCCAGGACCCGACGTGAGAGCCGGGGACAGGAAGCCCCCCTGAGACCACAGCCCTTCCTCCCGCCCCGCCCTGGTGTAACCTGACACCCAGTGCTTGGTCACGCCCTCCTAGTGCCCAACCAATTCCCAATTCCCCAAACACCATGAAAAAGAAATCTTTGAAGAAATCGAAACTACCCGGGAGGGGAGAGCCCTGAGCAGCCCCAGCATCCGGACCGCAGCGTCTCCGTCTCGCACCATGAACCGCAATGCCCAGCCCTTCCTTCCTGGCACCCACACTGGTGTCCCCCCAACTTATGAGATGCTCAAGGAGGAGCATGAGGTGGCGGTACTCGGGGGGCCCCAGAGTCCAGCTCCCATGGCCACCACCGTGATCAACATCCAGACTGAGACGTC